CTCGGCGGCCCCCGCGCAGCGGGGCAGGAGGAGGAGGCGGCGGCGGAGGCGCCGGAGCCGCCGGGCGAGCAGGCGGACAGGGAGCGGAGCAGCCCGGCGGCGGCCGCCTGGGAGCCGTTCGGCGGCAGATCGCTGGAGGAGATTTGGAAGGCGGCCACCCCCCGCCTCACCACGTTCCCCACCATCCGTGTGCGGGGCAGCGTGTGGAGCCGGCGGAGCCTGGCGGCGGCGCGGCGGCGGGCGCAGCGGATCCTCGGCGTGGACCTGTCCCCCGTGGTGCGGGTGCGCCGCTTCCCCGTGGCGCCGTCCTGAGCCCGCGGGGTCCCCGCTCCCCGCGCCTCACCTGGGCCGCGGTGCGGACAAAGAGACCGGTATCAGTCACCTGTTTACATTGCTTTTGTCTGGATCGTGTTCTGCTGCAGCACTTTATGGCCCGCTCGGGCGGCGCCGGGCCCCCCGCCGTATGGGGGGCGGCCTGCCGGGCCCCGGCCTCGCCCTGGGCTGGGACCGTCTGGCAGGTATCACGCATAGGGACCAAGTTCCACTTCCACTTTTTTTCTCTCCCATTGGGCTACCTCACTGGTCCAGAAGTCCACCCAAGAAGTTATTTTCCAAAGGAACTTACTTTCATGCTTGTATAATAAAGCACCATCTGAATTCTTGCTATTTTTTTCCTTCCCCCTCCCTTCCCCATTTCTGATGGATTATGTATGCTTTGTGGTGTTGCACTAGTATGTGCTCAGGGTATTTTGAATCCCAAGCATTCCCAAGTTTCAGTTTATTCTGATAAAGGATGCATAAAGAATGGAGGTTCAGGACTTGTGGCTGTTCTTGATGGTGCAAAAACTTTTTTTTAATTATAATTTCATGGGCTTAGTGATATATAAAGATGTATTGCGCAGTATAATTGTTACACTTTTGTATCTAAAGTCATTTTTAAAGTTTTCTAGTTGAACTAAGTATTTGTTTCTATGGAGCACCTAAAGATAGAATCATCCTGATATTTTATAACCCTGTTTACTTTAGGGAAGCTCATTTGGTCAACCTAAGTGAACTTAATAAAAGTTAAAGAACAAGTGGCGTTTCAGTTCAATGAAACTGCACAGGGTTGGGTTCCTGGTGAAGTACACCACCACCGAGGCGCTTTATGTCAATGAGCTCTGCCTTTTTGAAGAATGTAACTGCTCATCAAAGCGATCTGTAGGTATCTGGGGGTGAACTCTGATCCAATGTTGGTGCTGACAGCCAGAAGTCAGGAGCTCGCATGACATAAATATCACACTGAAGTGCCTGGCTCTGCAAAAAGAGCAGAACTTGATACCTGATCACTTCATGACAAACTAGCACTTGTTGACCTGCAGTTGGAAGATGGTTAATGATGGATAATCATATTTAATATAATTATTTGCACATAATTATTTTTATAAACCTTTCATGGGTTTTGCAGTAGACTGGTGAAAATTCATGATGTAGCTTGATTATTTTGACTGAAAAATAACATGTAGTCATTCTGTGCGCTAGGCAGTCACTTTTAAACTGATTTATTAAAGGCTTTTTTTTAGGTCTTACGCCTTGCAGTTGGTGTGTGAGGAGCAAGGGTGTGTGTGAAGGGAGAATGTGATTATTTTCTTTTTATGTTAACTTTTTTATGCTGCGAGAGGAGTAAAAAATGCTGGGTAATACACAGTTTATGTCCCTACTATCCTGGCAGACGGGATTAACAAGTTTTCGTGGTGGACTGAACAACTTCACAACTTACTTATAGAATCATTTGGTGACTCTTAACATTTCTGATGTCTGCCGACTCCTTGTTGTCTACTGTCAACAGAGGCAATAAGATGACTTGATGTATAGAGGCTGCTTGTAAAAACATGCTAGTGCTAACCTAAAGCATCCAGCTTTTTAAAATCTGTGTATATTTTGTAGTTCTTTCTTACATAGTGGAGCTGCAAAGTTCTTCCAATCTAGCACTTAATCTATTCTATATCCATCTGGCTTTTGAAATTGTTTACATAACGTTAGACCGTCTGCTGATCGCTGCAGTAGTGCCACGTCGCATTTCAGAAGTGAATTAAATGAAAGTTCAAGGGCACATAGTGTTGTGCTGTTTCTCTGCTATAATACCTGCTTAAACACAGAGGCAAAATTTGGTTGATTTAAAACCCAGTAAGGCAAGTTGCAATGTGACCAAATGCTGAGGCTCCAGGTGTTTTAGTTTTGAAATTTCTCTTCAGAAACACAAGAGCATCACTCCTAGTTCTTGAAGCAGCTAGGTGCTTTCAGTGCTCCTACTGTGTTAGGTTGAGGGTTTTTTTTAGTATTCTTTTCAACTGTGTAGAGAGATGATAAACTGTAAGCAGTTGTCTTGTGCAAACTCTTAACTCATAAACAGGCACAGGACAGGCTAGGTCAGATTTCAAGGGCAAGAGTTAAGGCTGCCAGAGGTATGATATGAGAGACACTGTGTTAAATTTGTGCTACTCCAAATTTGTTTGGAGGCATATCGTGAAATGTTCTGTGTGGGAACAAAATATAATGAAGTAACTTATAACTGTTGAGTGACTCTTGCTGTGTGGGCTGTATACATAAGGCTTCCTTATTTTTCTCTTGGTTGTGCTTTGACTTCTTGGTTTAGAAGTGGCAGCTTTATTGAGAGTATAGTGTGCTTTGCTGATACCCTCTTAGCAAATTGGGTTGAAGTTTCACTGGAGTCTGAACTCCTCTGACAGAGGCATTTACAGATTCTTAACTGAGCTATTTCAGTCTGTGAAGTCAGTTAAGAAGGGGAAATCTTTAGTCAGGTTTTCTGGCAAATTATTGTGCTGAAATAATTCAGCAAAGGATCTGAGTACAGGGCAGATGGAGTGTGAAAGCCAACAGGTCACAGGGAAGCTAAACCAGCTTGTTTCGTGATTGTGTTTGTGGCAATCCGGGACAGGATGATCTGTGGTCCAGCTTCTCCTCTCTTTTTCTCTCTCAGAGCTGTGACTCCCACCTACATCTCTGTGTTCATCTGAGGAAGCTAAGCAATCAGAAGACTCTTCAATTTAGATTTGGCCTCTGCTTGACCTTCTAACTGTAGGCCAGAGCTGAGGAAGATCGAAAATGGCTGTGCAGTATTGCTTCAATATTGAGTTAGACAATTTTAAACATGGCAGCAGTAGGGTTTATTTTATAAAAAGGGCTAATAATACTATTGTACTCTACCTATATGTATGCTATTGGAGAAAGTGTAATGGATTGGCCAGGCTTCTAGTCTGACTCCTTGTGGCTATTCCTATGCACACACTGAGCAGTGTGAGAGCTGTGACTTGCCTGATTTTAACTCAGTGATTTCAGCATCCTGTCACACTGGGCTACTTCTGAGACTGACAAAATGCAGACCCAGAATAAATCCAGTGTACAATGCCCAGTCTACTTCTGTCAGCACGGCTGGTTTCATATTAAACAGGAATTTTGTGGTAGCCTCTGTTGCTGGAATTCTCTTGCAGTAGCTGGTTCCCTCCCTTATGAGCTCCCTTTATAGAATGACTGTGTATTGAAAGTTTGGCTGTTTCCTTTACCAGCTCTGAATGTTCAACTAGTCACTCAAAGGTTATTGAACTTCCAAATGCCACAGTGCCAAAAAGCATTGGAGGATGGTCCCAGATGTCAGGGGTAGAATTGAGGAGACCATTGGTCTAGTGCAGGCTTTACATTCAAGAGGCAGTGCCTTCCTCTGAGTCATTGCACAAATACATTGTTCAGGACTAAGCTCACAAAAGGAGAATGCAGTGCCTTGCAAGAATTCTCCTGACTACTGTTACGTAGAAGTTTTCACATCAAAAGGATCAAAGTGTACAACTGGTCCCTGAAACTCTCTGTTGCTGGCCTGTAGACAACAAACTCTATATGCCCAAACCTCATGCAGAGCATAGCTGTATGTGTTTGCAGAAGGCAATTTTGGTACTTGGACTTTGCTCTGAAGGGGTAGGGGATGTTGTGTGTATCTGCATTTCCTTGCCTATCAGAAACAAAGGGCAGAGTGAATTGAGTTTGAAGACTTCAGCTTCAAAATAGTTTTTCACTTACCGGGTCTTCAGCAAGGCAGAGTCCTGGGCTCTTCATGCTATTTAGAACAGTTGACTTACAGTAATTTATGATGGCTTAGTGCTGTACTTTGACTCCAAGGTTTGCATGCATAAGAAACCAGTAATTCTGAAAGCACCTCTATTTCCTTTTGGCTTAATGGATAGACAAAAAATTTTCTGATTGGTATGCATGAGTCAAAAACATGATTTGGGGTTGAACAGAATGTTTGATTTTTTTAACTTGAGTTGCTGAGGTTTTGCTTGTATCTATAAACACAGGAAATCTGGAAGCAAAGGACTAGATTGACAAGAGCGATTTGCCTCACAGAGGTGAGGCAGTTTATATCAAGAAAGACAGTAGATTAGAAAACCTGGACTTCTAAGACCCAAATTTCAGTGCCTCCTCTGTCATGCTTGTAAGGGGAGCTTTGAAATTCTGTCCTGAGAACCATGTTACAAGAGCTTGAACCATTTCTTTCTGTATAATAAATATTCAGTAAGCTAGAAAAAATCCTGGATATCAAGGTTTTTAGGGAACACCTTGGTTCTTCATCTGCTATTTATTTCAGGTGAGCATAACTGCCTTAGCAGGAAAGACTGAGGCAGACCCATCCCAGAGTATTCTGTGGTAGGAGTTCTGCTTAGGCAGTGACTCCCAAATATGAGATGCTCATGATGGCTTATTCCCAAACTATAGTGAGGTATCCGGTATGTATGGTGGTAGGACTATGTAGGAGAATTTTGGAACATGTCTTATCCCTAATCAGAGCAAAGCCATTTTTCCATACTGTAAAAATAAAGCATATTTTCTCAGTGCTAAGGCCTAAATATCTTCATAGAATTACAAAAAAATCTGTAGTTCTTCTCTTGTTGTGACCACTTCTTTATGTAAAGGGACCTGAAAATATTTTTCAGGGTTGATTACAAGAATGGAGTCTTGTTTATCCGTTTATTTACCATGAAACTCCTCATGAACTGCTTAGTAGTACTCAACATTGTAGAAGATGGAAGAAGTGAGGCTTCATTCATGCGGTTCATTTTCACTCAAAAGGGTGTGCAAGACACCCAGTGGAACAGAAAAGCTTGTGGTTCCATGTACTCTCTGCTGGCCTTTAAGAAAGCTTCCATTCCGTTTCTATTTCAGCCGTCTTACTTGAGATTATAGAAGATGAGAGTTGATAGTTGTACTGGTTTAAAGGTAAACCAACAGGGGAAATGAACTCAAAAGAGAGATTATAAATCAGAATAACAATTTAATAAAATAATACAATAAGTACGATTATACAGACAAACAATTGTTTTTTAACCCACAAAACCCAAATGTATAACCCAACACCTGGGGCATGAACAGAGTGGTGTTCTGTGGGCCCCCTGCTTCCAAAGTAAAAGGAGAGGGGAAAACCTGTTGGTGAGAGTGCTGCTGTAGTCTGGTCAAGAGTGGTGATTGCAGTCCAGTTGAGTGTAATGGTTGCAGTCCAGTCAAGAGTGGTGGTCTACAGTCTTCCTCTGGATCCCACGAGTGGTTAAAAAAGTTCCAAGACTCCAAGATTATACATTCTCCAGTTCAGGCAGGAATGCCCAGTACTTCCCTCAGGGCGGAGAGTTCCACAAAGGGTGTGAGGACAAGAGCATCCTCCTGTCTCACAGGCCTCTTGACACCTAGTTTATAGCCTGAGGAGTCAGGCTCTATGGGCAGATGGTGTAAATGGTTCATTTATAACAGTTTCTGGGAAATGGCATGGAAGGCTATAGAATACACAGTTTTGGGTTACATCCATATAATGATGAACTGGTCCCAGATGTTCTAACTAAGACAATAGTGTTGATGTGAAAAAGCAATAGTGTCAAAACACTGCCAACAGGAAAGCCCCTATCCCTTGAACGGCTGTCATCATTCTGGGTTTCTCTCCCCATTGCTACTTCAGGAATGCAGACATTCTGCACCTGCCCCTTCTCCTGCCCTCCTTTCCTAGGCTGGTTTTGAGGAGATTTGAATGGTCTAGAGCAGATGGGAGGTGAAATTCCTGCTCTGAAAGACAGGCGGGATTTTTTTTTGTTTTATTTTTGTGTGTGCGTCTTGTCTTGTGTGTAGCTGGCTGCTGCTTTCCACCTCCTCAGAGAGTCTTCACTTTGTCTTTCCTCTACCGTCAGCCATCTCTAATTGCCTGTTACTTTCCTTGTGCAACTGAGCAGCCTGTTCATCAGCTTACATTGCTTATGCCAAATCATCTTGCTATAGGATGATCTGTAAAGATGGAGAGGACATGTTCACATGTACACATACTTGTAGTAAGTGTTATCTTCACCTCACATTTTGGCAGCATTGTACCTTACTCAGAATACCAGATGCTGTTTCCAAATGGATGGTATTTCCTGGATGAGAGGTAAGAAACCAAACTGAAAGAACATGGTGTGACAATTCCCTGTGTTTCAGTCTGCATGATCCAAAATGCTTTTTCAAAGTATTTTTAAAAAAGAAGGAAAGTTGCTTTCCATCT